AGATACATCGTCGGTGACATCGGATTCAGGGTGTGGAGGAGTAACGTTGGTGGAGACAGGTGGTGATGTGGTTGGTTTTTGTCCTGGGGCTGAAGAGCGCCGTCAAAAGCGTTTGCGTTCGTTTATACCAGAGCACCTGACGACTACGGCTGCAACGCAAGCTGTGGTCTCAATGTTTAGCTGTATAGCTCGTCAAGAAGTCATCGATCCTTCGTGCGCGCCCCATTTGAATGCTGGTGAGCTACTGCCCAGTGGGATTGCAGCCTTTATTGCGGCAATACAACGGGTTAGAACTATTGGGGCTGGCGATGTGTTTATGGATATCGGCTCTGGTGTTGGCAATGTGATGGCTCAGTTTGTTCTTTCGACATCAGTTCGCGCGAGCATTGGTATTGAAGTCCGACGTGATTTGGTTGACCGTTGTAATGGGATACTGGTTGAGCATGTAGTGCAATGGCCAGGCCTACAAAACGTGGAGGTGTATGCTGAAGATGTGGAGCGAATTGAGCTGTCGATGATATACCCTTTCTCCAGCGCAACAATCGTCTTTGCCAACAACTCGCGCTTTGAGCCTTCTACCACAAATCATATCACAAGTGAGCTTGTATACATGACGGACGCGTGGATTGTTGCCTTCACAAGTGAGATTTGCCCACGGCACAGTCCCACGTGCACAAACAGCTTCTCGCTGGAAGCTGCAAACATCAGTCGAAGTGCTGGTGAGCTGGTCATCAAAACCAGCAACAGTTTATCTCTATACAGAAAAGACCGAGCTGTACGTGTTCTCAGCCTGAAAAGATAAGCATTCATCTTGATTTCATTATACATTTACAGACTGTTCATCTTGCGTTGATCTTGTTGGACCTGTTTCGGCTCGACGACGCTGAATGAACAAATTGGGCGTCTTCCTTTGGCTGAGAATAGGTTTTCGCGCAAGTAAAATTTGTGGTACTACTCCCAACAAGTCCAAGTGGGCTGTTGGCAGAAGTATGGCTTCGCAGCAGTTGTATGGACAATTTGACAGAGGCTCACGCCGTGGAGCGTACAGTGGTCGGTGACAACTGTTGGAAACCGATCTTCCCATCGACATACCACACAATGCCTTCTCCGCATCTTGTCTCCAAAAATCTGCTTCGAGTTGAGAGCAACGCACGATTTTTGAGGGCTGGACATGGTTGAAGGTTCCACGCCCCCACAATGCCACATAGCAGAAGCCTCCACTGCGGCCGCAACCCCAGACTCTCCTCGGGCGGAGTAGAACATTCTTCTGTCACTAGGTGCCTCCATCCATTTCCCTGAAATTTGCTCCTCCGCGAGCTCTGCAACAAATGAACGGTGCGGATCACGATCTCTCGTCACGTCAATAGTCAACTTTCTGGTCATGTAGGCATTGACTCTGGCAATATCCACAAAAGCCATCCCCAGCTTCTTATACCATTTCTTGAAAGTGTGACCGTCGGCCAAAGAGAACCGTTCACGTAGTTGGTCCAGCCTATCAACACCTTGCATATTGGTGTTGTACTCTGACACACGCAGTGGAGCAGGGAATGGCTGCAGTTGACTGCCGACTCTCCTTGTTAAGACCGTTTCCGAAGACTTGTCTGCGTTCGACACCATCTTCACCACCGCACTATCATACCACGCCACAGCAACCATCTCATGCGCCACTGAAAGAGCTTGGCGATACTGCCCGCGACGACACTCCTTCTTCTTCAAAACGACATGATGCGGAAAATGCAGGCTATTCCCGCGTATAGTCCCTCTGCCATAAAGGCCCTTCACTCGCAGAGCAGCCAAAAGTTGCACGGACATGTAGTAGTTGTCGGCATTTATCACGCGATTGGTATGATAAAGTGGCCTCACCACTTCCATAACCTGGCTTCGGACAGTTGATAACTCGTCCAGTTCTTGTCTTAGTGCTTCGATTGTCTCCTTAGATACAACGCCTTGCAGCCGATCGGATAAGTCGCTCGCACAGTGCACTCGAAAGTTGATGGCTATCCACGTAGTGGCACAACAAAGGGTGTAAACTCGAAAGTGGTATTTACCACCAGGCTTCATGGGGTTGAACATTATCAATCTCCGCCCGTACTTGGTTTTGGAGGCGACGCTCGCCTCATCCAGCGAGACATCTCTTCCGACCTCTACGTACTTCCCTTCTGTGATTTTCAGCATATTAAGAAGCGGGCGAATTCTCCTGACAGGGTCCACTGGCTGCGGTGGGGCCGGCGCAGTAGCAGTATTCTGAGATCGTCGCGAAGCTTGTTGAGAATTCGATGCCGAGGTGGGAACGGAAGAATTTTCAGTAGGTTGGGTTGAGCTACTCGTCGTCGTAGCATCTTCCGACAACAGCTCGTCAATATCAATAGCATCAGGATCGGCGCGAGTCTCAGCTGTATCCCCACTACTAGCCACCGCGGTACTTGAGCCGCTATCAGCACTCGCTGCACGAGCAGCTTTTGGCACGTGCCTGAAACAGAAATGCTGGCGCAACAGCTTGAAGCGGCTCAGTGCCATCACCTTATCCAGACCTGTGTGGTTGCCCCCCACGATGCAATCTTCTATTTGCCTTCCCCAATAATTGGCGTGTTCGCCCTTGACCACCAGTTTCATAAAGAAAAGAATTCCAAGGAAAGTCATCAATTCTTGTAGGGTGAACGGTTTGTTGGTGCTGAGCTTCTTCTCCAACTCATGCGCACGCATCGCCTTGTTCGTCTGGTGCAGAACTTCAACCCAGTAGTAGACAGGAATATAGGCAAAGAAACTCGACGATGCCGAATGTTCAAACAAATGGCGGAAATGAGGGCGAACTCTCGTCTTGACATTGCCATCCGGATGCTGGTATAAGTCTGAAGGACCATTGATCTGTGCAGTAGGATCGAACTTCATGTTGGTGATACTTTCGACTTCGGGCAATGAAGATGGAAGAATTACCTTTGGATCATATCGCTCGAAACTCTCCTCCACTTCTTCCAAATCGCTGTCGTCCTCAACAATACCAGATTCGGTGCTGTCTGGTTGACAAAGGGACTTCCAGGCCGGCTTAGACGGCGATGCCATCACATTTTTATAGTTCTCCATGCCACGCTGAACGACACTCATGCTTATCCACTTATCGGCCTTCTGGAACTGCCTGTCAACCCAATGAATCTGAAACAGCGCTTTCTTCTTATCAAACCTAGAGACTCGGCCAACAATGTAAGCACTTCCTGCATCTTCGAATATTCGGCCTGATAGCCAGGACTCTTTGGCAGGCGAGTACGCCACAAGCTTCTCGACAAACAGCTGAGGCATTGCTGCGGCAGTGGGCGAAGCTGAATCGCGCGTACTACTAGTCTCCGTCACGACAGGAGGGGCAACAGTAGCGTCCGATGTAGTATGGCCGATCATTGCACTACTGCCAACCGCACCGCCAGCTCCACTGGGCGTCGTACTCTCCATCGCTGATGCTAAGCTCCGCTGTCGCTTGCGAGGCTGCTTCTTTCGCGCTGGAGATGAAACCTTGCGTTTAGAAGGTGCCTTCTGCTGTTTGTGCTGTATAGTTGACCCACGTCCTGGCCGAGGCTCCGTCAGCGCTTGCGCTTCACTCGAACGATAATTCGACGATTGAATCCTTGCCAAAGCTTCATGCTGAGTCTGACCACGGCTATCACTCAGGACCTGCTGGAAGCGCGGTTCTTGTCTTGTGTCCGTTGCTTGAGTTCCTGCTCCAGCAAGGGGTGGAGGCTGTTCATCACCCGCTTGAACACGCTGCTAAATAAAACCCTCCATGCTTTACGATCCCTGCTGCCAGAAGAATCGTTATGGTGCGCAGCCTCTTCTTGTCACTGCGGCACGAAAGCCAACGCCGATCCATTCAGGCCATAATTTGAATACTCAGTTGAAGATAGTTTCCCATGTTTTGTTTCGATACTGAAATCAAGATGTGTGCACCGGTATCTAGCGGATGCATCTAAAATGAAGGATGTCTGAAGAAGGCCACCACGACGTCTGCGTCTACTCCAACGACTTTCAACTGCGCGAACAAATCGACTTCAGCTGATAGACCACGCGCCAGAAGCCCGCGCCCAGCTGATCAAGGGTATCGAGAACACCCGCAGTCCAAAGGTAAACAACTCAGCTACGTGGATGCTGGAGTATACCAGCCCTCTTGCTACCAGTAGAGCGGCAGACAGCATGGGCTTCATGAGTTTTGCTGCGAGGCTGCAGGTGGGTTTGGGAAGGAAGACGTGACGTTGCCGTCGGCTGTACACCCAGGACTGGTTTTCAGCACGAAGCTCGATGCAGCTCAGCGACGCAGACGGAGTTCCCGGTCCACATGCACGGCATGTACTGGTGCGCGCCAACATACAACCGACTCGATTGGGTTTTGGTACGCAGGCCTGAACTTGGTAGTTGACATGATCTTCATGGCGTCGCTGTGTCCAACCCAATGGTGCTCCCCGACGTTCCAGACTAATCAGTGGATCTCCGGCGTGGGGAAGTGGGCGCGGTGGCGAGCTCCGGTTATGCAAACGCTTTGACGGCGCACAGATGCGGGTGACGGTCAACATCTTCCTTCTGCTGCCCTTCGGAAGCCCACAAACATCGTCCACCGAATGCCCGAGCAGTGGACGCCTCCTTCGCGTCGCTGCAGCAAACAGGCCAGCCTATCTTTCACATAATTACAAATAACACCAAGCGCTGTTAGCCAATAGACGAATTGTTCGGTCAACTATTGGGTTTCAGCCAATCATTGCATCCTTCCAAAACGTGCCAATCTGGACCGTTCTATAGTTAGCCCCCTCAAGGGTGGGACAACCAAACGTGCCAGAATGGCCCGTTTTAGTTTTGCTACAATTGATCTAGTATACTATACAAATTCAAGTAATTCGCGAAAAGGTTTAAGCTCGAAACCAATCTCGAGCTTGGGGAGCTCTGATATACGGAAGCTGTACCATTCAGCAATTTGCCAGTCAACAAGCAGCTCCGAGCTTATCAGCACGCACAGCACTCAAAAGATGGCGGCCGCGGCACAGAACGACCAGCACTACGCCATCAAAGTCGCGGTCGATAGGAACGAAGGCCAATTCACAACCGGAGAATGGGAGGTCGGCCTCTGCGGCTGCTGCACCGACTGCGTGCCCAACTGCCTCATGACCTCGTTCTGTCCCTGCGTCAGCATGGCTCAAATCTCGGCTCGCCTGGGCATGATGGAGTACTGCTGTGCTCTGCTGGTCTACCTGGTGCTCTTGCCCGCCACCGGTGGCTGTGCAACTGCTGTGTGGCTCTGCATGGCGCGGAAGGAGACGCGCGAGAGATTCGAGATCCCCGGCGGTTGCTGTGGCGACTATTTGGCCTCCTTCTGCTGGGGCTGCTGCGCCATGGCACAACCTCAAGAGCTACAAGCCTGGAAGCTGCGACTTCGGCCCGCAAGACACACTCCCGGCCTACGCGCGCGGCTAACGCGACAGCAAGAGACCGAGAAGACATTTATCAACCGTAAGGTAGCTGCATTTACCTAAAAATAAACTCATACACATCCTTTTTTGCTTTGAAAGTCCAGCACGATCTTGGAGGGGTGTTGAAGCTAAAATTTTGCTATTCGAAGCGCCACGTATGATATGCATCCATGTACCCATTGTGCTCGATCGCTCGAGGCGGCACCACCGTCCTCTGACTCAAAGGCCTTGAGGCTTCATTCCACAATTCGGACGCCACTACAAGGACCAAGTCGAAGCGATTCCAGTGCACTATGGGTGGCGAGCAGGATGTTCCCTACGCCATCCACGTCGAGGACGAGCCGACCTCCAAGGACGACCAGGGCATAACGGTCGGCAAGTGGGAAGTCGGCTTCTGCGGCTGCTGCACGCACATGGTGCCCAACTGCCTCATGGTCACGTGCTGCCCGTGCATCTCGTTGGCCCAGATCTCGGCATGATGCAGTACGACCTCGCGCTCGTGCTCTTCATCCTGCTGTTCGTCCTCTCGGGTGGCGTGGGAGGCATTGTCGGCGCCATTTGGCTCTGCCAGGCGCGCACCCAGACGCGCGAGCGCTTCCAGATCCCCGGAAGTTGCTGCGGAGACTGCATGGTCTCGTTCTGCTGCGCCATGGCGCAACTCGCCACGCACATCAAGAGCTACAAGCCGGGTGACTGCTCTTTTGGACCTCAGGACACGCTGGCCGCCTACCAGCGCGCTTAGAGCCCAACAGATCCCGCCATACACAAGATAGAAAACTACTAGTAAACTCGAAACGAAACAATTCAACCGACTCCTAACTATCTGTAGCTGTTGTCAGCCATTTATCTCTTCAATAAGAACTTCTCTTTCGCTATTTGAAGGCTTGATGACAATTTTTCGATCCCAGGATGCGAAGTTGCTGCCTATTTCGATGCAACCAGCGCTCAAGCTAGCTTTATTCCAGCATTCTGCAAGCTTCCCGATAGCCCTGATCTATTGCGCAGCATGGAGGCGCCCTACGCGGTTCCAGTTGATGATGTCACCAAGCCCAATGCATCGCCGACGGAAGTAGCGGTGGCGATCCCGGTCGAAGACCCGAAGCCAGACAAGGACCCGTCCGGGATCATGCTCGGCAAATGGGAAGCGCAGTTCTGTGGCTGCTGCACGCACTGCGTCCCCAACTGTCTCATGGCGACGTGTTGCCCCTGCGTCTCGGTGGCGCAGATCACAGCTCGACTGGGGCTGACGACTTACACCTGCGTGTTGATCACTCTTGTGCTGTTGTTCTCGTTCACTTGTGGGATTGCACACGCGATCCTCTTTGTGTGGATCTGGCAGCTACGTCAACTCACCCGAGAGCGCTTCAAGATCCCTGGTGGCTGTTGCGAGGACTACTGCGCATCCTTTTGGTTCCCGTGCTGCACACTCGCGCAAATCGCTACGCACATCAAGAGCTATAAGCCCGGTACCTGCGACTTCGGCCCGCAAGACACTCTCCCCCCATACAAGCAAGCATAACGCTACACGAACGAGAAAACTTTCATATCAAGAAATCACGAACACCATTAACATGGGTTAGCCAGCAGGCCTAAGAGCATCTAAAGAGTTTGCCAAACATTTCTGTATGATCTTCTTCGTAGCGACGTGGCCTGCCTTAGGGACGCCGGCACATGAAGCCATTCATCTACTAGGCACGACTTTCGCTGTAAAACTTTCGGGAAAGCCGATTTGGGATTTCCAAGATGGATTCGCCTTCATCCACTGGTCGTAGTGCTTCCCCCTTGGAAGGGATTTTCTTGTCAATTCGATTGCTTGGCTTGCCGAGTTGCCAGATGGTGTAAATCTGATCGGGATTGATTTCCTTCTGAGCGAGCTTCTTCGCACCTTTATCCAGGTCTGCAGCGTTGGTTTTCCAGTACACGGTGGACTTTAGGCGGGCGTCTTTCATCCAGGTCTTCGCGCCGGTGCCAAGCATCCGCGATTCCCCTCTCTTCATCCTTCGTGTCCAGAATCTCGTTAACCGTCGCATCCACCCGAAGAAATCGGTCGTTGTTGGGCTTCACTTCGGTATCAGCTTGGGTCAATATTTTGGAATTTGCTTGCGTGGTCGACGCCGCGGCAGTATTGGTGCTAGCAATTAAGTTAAGAGCCATGATGAAGAAAGCACGCATACCAGTTGTCTATGTAACTCGTCAAGATCGGTGTGTAACTGAGTGTTGTTGGAGCAAAATGCGAACTGATAACATTCAGGCGGGCTTCACGGCACCTACCACCCGAGGAGTGCCAAATTTTATCGCAATGCCTGTTGTCCCACTTGGTAATCATTTGGCACATGATCAAGGCGCTTGCCTTTTTCTATAGTGGCTGCAGAAGTGTAACTAGAAGTGTAACTACATGTATTGTGCTTTGCAAACGTTTTGTCGTTTTGACTTTCGAGTTATAATAAATCAAGATCGATTTAATAAAGCGAGGTCAAAGAAAGGGACAGATCGATCTATTTAGGCCGGCTAATAACTCGATCTACGCCAATCCAAATCAGGGCTCGAGGTCGATCTGCTGGTTGATTTGAGTAGAACGAGGTCGATCTACGGTAAATCGATCCTTTTTGCGTTTTCAAAAGCGTAATTCGAGGTCGATCTAAGTAAATCGAGATCGTCCATGCTACCCCCTCCGATTTGTGCCCTGATTTGTGGACCGGCCTACCTCGATCTGGGTCATAAAACGGGGCGACATTTTATCTGCAAAGCACAATAGCTCGATGAATATACTTCGAAATGCACAATAAAGCTAATGCTTGCTGGTGACAAAAAACCTTGATCTGCATTGGGAGACTCTCCCTCCGAGCTGCCTTCGCGTTACTTTTGTGGATCGGAGAGTATTAAATACCCCCTTACCAACCGCAAACAAAGTTGAGGTTCCTTCGGAGCAGGCAACAGTGGCTCGTAATCTATCACTTAGTATTTGGTTTTGATTAGTTATCAAAATCTACTGAAAACCGCAAATTTCAGAGCCTTGTCGGGCCGGAGGCACGACTTTGTTTCTCGTTTATTTCACCCACTAAAAACGGCTCAATAGCGTGCACAGTTGTCGTGGTGTATAATATGCGTAGCGAAGTAGAATAACACCAAGCGTCGATTTACTACAACCAGGATAAAATGTGGAGCCCTACCGGTAGTCCACTTGTTGGACCCATGTCACGAGTAGGAACGGTGGAACGGTGGAGGACTGTACCGGGTACGGTCGGGGCCGTTGGCCTCGGTGCCCCGTCCCGTATGCGACGTTCTTGCGGGAGAACAACTGGGCGAACGGGAGCAGGGAGAGTAGTCATCGCAACTGGGCGCCGCCGTGTCAGAACTCAATCGGCACGAGCGGGCGAAGTGGTGGCTCCGCGGCCTGCTCAGCCGCCATGGAAGCTGCGGCGCATGCGGCGAACGCGCGCCTACGCGGGGATCAGGACGGAGGTCATGGGGCCGGCGTGGCTCGAGGCGAGCGTGTGAGGCGAGCCAAGGACGAGGGGGTGAAGGGAAGCCAAGGTGGAGATGCTGCGGTTGAAGTCGGTGGACGGACCGGCCGAGCTCGGCGAGAAGAGCAAGGGCGAGAAGAGCACGGAGTGAGCGCTCCGTGCCAGGTTAGTCAGGACAGTCGCGAATTTGCTTTGGGTCTAACAAGTCAGAACGCTTTGCATATTGAACCGTGTTTAGCTGCTTCTGCTTGTCCGTCTAATCCTCCTCAACCGTTCGTGCCTCGCTACCCACGGCGGCGACCGTGCCCGACCCGATTCGACTCGCGACACGTGGTGGAGAAGCAGGGTATTGTCGTCGCCGGAGAGGTCGTCTGTGCTGGGGAGTGAGTGTTGGTGTTCGTCGTAGGAGAAGAACGGTGCGGAGATCTCGTGGAAGTCTGGTGCATAAGCTTTGGAACGGTCGGTTTATCGGAGTCAAGTTGGTGAAGATCCTGAAGAAGAGAGTCGAAGGCCACGCATTGGTCGCGTTGAAGGCCTGATTGAGTTGAGATTGGAGTTTGTGTTCCCCCCGAGTGAAGAAGGGCTGCGGAACGGTCGGTCCGTTTGGAGGAATCGGACTAAGGAGATAACGGTGAAGAAACGCTTCGAGTAGTTGACAAGGACGTTGTACGAGTGAAGATCCGCATGTTGGAGACGGTGATTGGTGAGCTGGAACGGTTTGGAGAGCTCTGTCGGTGCTGAAGAAGGACGACCAGCGAGGAGACGGCGGCGTGAAGAAGAAGACATGAGGAAGAGGTCGAGCGGACTGAATAGCATGAGCGGACGCTACGAAGAGGAGTATGCGAGCCGTACCTGGGCGGAGCCTGCTGAGCGTGATGTGGGCGACGGTGAAGGACGGTGGTTTGGGACTGGAGCGTATGTGGATGAAGGTGCTGTTGGTGAGGAAGGTTACTACGAGGACGACATGCTGGACATTGAGTACACGATGCTGAAGCTGATTCCGTTCTTCGACGCAGATACTGCGAGTACGGAGCGCGCGAGAGATTTCTGGTGGTGCTTTGAGACGGCTACGGAAGGATTTGGTGATCTGGTACGGCTGAGGATGTTTGCGGCACGGATGAACGGTTGGGTTGCTGAACGGTGGGGCCTGAATTTACGGTTCGGTGACTTCGAGACGCTGAAGCGACGGCTCTACAATCGCTTCATCCGTCTCACGGAGGAGGAGTTGCTGAAGCGGCTGTTCGATGCCAATCAGGAGCGTTGCAGCGGGGCTGCCGTAGCTTTGCGTCAGAGGAAGCTTAACAGACTCGCAGAGTCTCAGCTTAAGATCGCCCGTTCTAATACCAGAACGTACGAGTCCGTACACCCTACGGACTCCAAGAGTCAACCCTAGACTCTTCAGTATAAATCTCAAACTGAGTGTATTTCCCTTTATTGCGGCAAAGCCGCCTACGGTGTAAATGTATCCGGTTCACTATCTAGCATAGTGAACCCTAGTCATATACATAATCAGTGGCTCTGAAGCCATGTACTGATTCTCATACTGATTTAGGTTATACAGTGTGTACCCACTTCGTAACCCTTCGGGTAACTCTCGTGTAACCCCGTTACACCCTCCCCCACCAAACTGTGGACACGGGTGTTCACGCTTAACGGTCAACCACCGAGTCTTGTTCCGTCAAGCCTCGTTCTCGAACGAGTCAATCCACATCGCGTGGACTTCTCTGAGAACTTCTCGGCGCAACGCGCCCTCACATGACTTCAAGTCATAAAGCCTTTTGGTCTTTCGACCGCAGACAGCCTCTCGCGAGATCCGCCTCGGAGCCTCGCTACTCTCGTGCTGCTGCACTGCGTGCCTCCGCACCTCCGCGATCGCCAGTGCCCGCGCGCACACCCTCGACGCCTTCCAGGCTCTCGGTGTCCGAGTACTTCGCGGCGCAACGCCTGCAGCGCAGCTCGCAGCGCGCAAGCCCCAGCACTCCTCGAGCACCTACCCGTCAGATCATGGATCCTAGGGAACGCTTTGGTGAAGAGGGCGAGGTGGACGAGTCCATGGAGGGTTCTCCGAACCGAGGGGATGCTTCCCCACTCACGCGCCGCTCCCCGAGCCGCGGCAACGCTTCGCCCACACCGTCGACACGCCGTGAAGAAGGCTCGCTGGCCCCAGCTGGCTCTCCGAGCCGTCGCGATCAAGGGCTCCCAGCGCACACGTCTCCTGTGCGCTCGCCGAGCCGTCCACCTGCAGAGCGCGCTGCGCCGTCGAGGGAGGAGCCGCGAC